TCCTGCTACAAGCGCTGGAATAGGAATAGGCCAGTGGACGTTCATCGTCACCATGTCGATATCAGTGACATGTCCTCTACTCCATGAAGCTTGTCTCACCAGGAAACTTGCTTCCTCTTGATTCAGCAGGTTGGATCCAAGCTCCACGACCAGACGTCCCAACCACACAGCCAGGGTTTCCTCAGGTTGAATCTTGGACTCCCTGTATAAATCCTGTAGTTCAGTTCTGGATCGAGCATGATAAGCAGTAGTATGAGCTGTATTCTGTGGCTTGATGACTTGGCTGGTTGATGCTGCAGGTTGTTTAGTTTCTTTATGGGTCATGGTAGTGAGCAACTCAAGCAATGCACCCTGCAAAAGAAGCTGCAGAAAAGGCGGGAAACTTGTCCCTGCACCGGGGTTTCCTCTTGCTACAGGAAACTCTCCTGTGCAATGCTCTGCAACTTGGCGGGGATAATTCTGGTGCCGAAGCACACACACAATCATGCCTTTTGGGTCATGACAGTCAGTAAGAAGTTTGCAGATTATCAGTAAAAAAATTCTTGAGTTGCAACCCTGATTATGATGATAGAAAATATGGTTTTGGAGATGTTAAAAATACTTAAAGACTAATAAGAAATTATGTAATCTATTATACGAATCACAGTTTGCAGGCTGCTGGCATTTTAAGAGATTAGAAATACTGTGTTTATTTCCTGAAACAAATTTATAGTGAAAGCCAAATGCAGTGAAGTCAATGTTTGTGTATTCCTTTTTGTAATAAAAAAGTGTTAGTTTTCCTCTTAAGTCTACATAGTAGCACAGTATAAATGGTAATTTTCCAAGAAAGTCTCTTGTATTTACACAGCTGTGCAATACCTGCCCTTTATCTTCAGATGAATTTATCTAACACCCTCATTTTGCCTTGAATACTCTTACGCACACATCCATCAGGCCCAGGTCAGGGTTATAATTTATGATAACAATACACCTGTGGCACTGGCAGGATCCTAAACTGTGGAAGATTTGTAACAATGACTTCTGGATTTTACAGTTGGAATACTTGGGATTCAAATATTGAGTACGCTCCATAAATCCTTGCACATCAGGAGTATATGAGTTTAGAAATATATATTTAAAGCAATTTAGTAGGCAGCTTGAGTTAAGAAAAGATCATTTTGTCAAAAGCAATAAGTGTTTTGCCTTTGATTTTACTCTATGCTTTTATTTTTAATCCCCCTGGTTATGTTGAACCAAGCCAAAATCCACTGATGTCAATCATCTACTTGAAAGTGCTTGCAGAATACATTTAGGGCCCTGAACCTGGAAGTCCCTGCTCTTATCTTAAACTTGTGGTGGTACGACTTTCTCTGCTTTCCTTTTACATTTCTTGTATCCCCACTTTTGTGCCAAAGGTCTAGATATCCTTTCTTAATGTCATCAGGGACCTACTGTCTTTTCTGATTTGCATTTATTTCCTGAATTTATATTTGCCACAGTTAAGAGGTCTGCCAAGTTTTAAAGATGCCCCCAGAATAATAAAAACACATGGAAGACATGTATATGTTGGGTCAAAGGCCAGATTGAAGCTATGCATGTTTGCCTAATCTACAATGCTGTCATCCTCTGAAGTATCTAATAATTTCAAAGTGCGTGGTTACTTGACCCATTTTACAGATGGAGACAATGATGCATAGAAAAATCAGTATTCTGATTCTTCAAATATGCTGAGTATGCACAGCCCCCAAGGGCTTTAGCAGAGGTGTCAGAATCACTGAAAATCAAGCCTTTATTGATTTCCCCCAACTCACACAACAGTTCCTTTACAGAACATGGCACATCTCCTTAACTCCCGTCTCCACTTTAGACCTACACATCTGTTGTGTGCCAAGCTATTTGTTTTAGTTGGCCTTTGCAACATTCAAGTGGCTACCCTTATCTACAGGAGCAATTATAACATAAAGTGATGCCTCAAGAACATCAGGGCGGCAAATAAAATGGGGAGCACTTCAAAATTAAAAATTTGGGAAACATATTTTTAAGCACTAAATACCTAAACACTTGCAATGAAATTTCCTTCTGGATTCAATGAAATATGAGGCCCCAAATGCTCAGAGATGGTGCCTTAGAAATAAGAGCTACGACAACCTGAATAAAAGATAAGAAAGACGTGGAAGGAATCAGTTGCCAGATTAAGCATTAGCAGATAGTTAATATGTGAGAGGCAACAACTTCTTGGAGTGGTATCTTTTATTAAACCAGCTACAAGGTTGAGATAATGTTGGACAAGTGTTCAAATGCAGGACATCTTCCTTAGGTCTCTGAGCACGGGGAGACAGGTACAGTATAGCGAATAATCAGGCAGCTCACTACATATCAGAGATAGGAAGTTAATACACAGGATTGGAAGCCGCTTTTTCTTTTCCTTCACCAAAATTGTTCCAAAGGAAAAGAGCTGGTATCTAAATGCAGGTCCGTTCTGCTTCCTCCTTGCCACCACTGCTGATTGGTGAAGTTATAAAATACATCAATTAAGATGTATTAGCAGGGTGCTAATACAGTCGCAGCCTAGGATGGGCATCTGAGGGCTCCTCAGAGGGACAGCGCTAAGGGTGCCAGGCCAGGAGGGGTTGCGCACCATTCCCTGGGCAACGGCTGCTACTGGCCAGCTGAGGGGCCAGGCGTGATGGACACAGCTGCTTTGTGACTTGTTGCCCCACAACATTCTGATGACCACCCCTCAGCCAATCAGGCGTGAGGCTGTTGCCATGGTCTCTGAACTGCAACACTTCCCTGTGCACCAGCTGCAGAGCAAAGGGGAGGAAGCCCGGAAAGGTCCCTCTCCCTGCTCCAGCACCCTGCACCCCGGAGCAAGCGCTGCTGAGCCTGGCCGGGCTCCAGGGAAATCAGGTAGGGCTCCCTGCACACTGCTCCCGCCTCTCTCCCCAATCATGCTGCCTGCTTGGGGCGTAGGAGCAGCTGAAATGGGCGGTGGGGATAGCACTGGGATGGCTCTTGGCACTAAGCTGCCAGTACCACCTCCTCCAGCTACTCGCTGGCCCCAGGGGCCAGGCCAGTCTGGCTTGATTGTGTTCAGCTTGAAGCAGAGCTGGGAATGGTGGCTACAGCAGAGTCCTTGGCCAGTTGATATAGCTCCTGCCTGTTAATGCCAGCCAAAAAATCCCTGACATGGTCTCTTGCCAGCAAAGCAGCCCTGTGCATGCCTTGTAAAATAAAGCAAGTCTCACTGCCCTCATCCTGCTGTTTGCAGAAAGCAACAAGTATGCTGCAAGAGGTGCTGGTGCCATCATTCACATCATCATAAGTTGAGCCCCTGCCTGCAATGGGAAGCCATGGCCTATCTTTTATGATCAAATGGGTACTTATCATTGCTAGAGAGACCCAAGACTCCAGGGCCTGCTGCATGCCGTGTTATCCCTTTTAAACTAGAATTCAAGAGCAAAACACTTCCCATTCCATACTGACATCTCTCCCAGCCGCACACCCACTTAACGAATCAGGCTGATACCCAGTTGCCAACTGTACTTTTCATTCCAGGATCTCAAAGTCTTTTACTAAGCATAATTAGCCACAATTTTTAGCTGGAGAAGGGGAAGCATGAAAGGTGAAGTAATTTGCCCAGGGTCAGTCAGCAGGTCAGTGGCATACTCAGGAGCAAGTCACCTGAGTCCCTGTCTAGTACTTGTCCAGTGGCTTTTACTGCCTTTCAAAGCACTGTTGCTTTAAGGCCCAGAGTTGTAGCTACCACTTACGTTCTATTGATTTCCCTGCATTATCTGCTTTGTCTGCTGCAGAATCAGGATTAACACCCTTTGTATCCTGAGAGTCCCCTGGTAACTACAACCTGCCGTTTAGCCTAACAGTAAAAAAAGATGTGAAAGATCATATTGAATTGCAGTCTGAAGCATTCACAGCTGGTCACTGTTTCACTCCCAAACACCTTGCAGCACTGTGCCACACGCCTGGGCTTTTCTGTTCATGCAAGTAAAATAAAAATACGCTATCCATCATTTAATTCAGTGCAAAACATTCTTTTTTCCACAGCCAATTCTGAAGTGTAGGTTAGGCTTGCATCCTGTGGATCCTTGTACAGTGATCCATGCCAGCAGTCAATATCTCATAGGGGATTTACAAATGGAACTTAGTCAGGCTTGTATTTGCAAAACTGGGTTTGCTTATGGCTTAATTGCCTTAAGCTTTTATATGGCTTCACATTGGCTGTGGCTGAAAAGTTCCCTATTTATAACATTTGTTAAATGCTTTAGGATCTGTATAGATAAAAGGGTGAATCCACTTTCAAGATGAAACTGGATGCTTATCTTGCTGGGATCCTATGACCCCAGCTGACTTCCTGCCCTTTGGGCGGGGGGCTGGACTCGATGATCTTCCGAGGTCCCTTCCAGCCCTGATGTCTATGAAATCTATGACAATCTATGAAATCTATGAAAGGGACAAGGTAAATGTCTCAATGTAAATTAATGTTTAATCTTGTTGGCAGCAATCCCTCAATTTGAGGATGATCTCCACCACGGCTCATTGATGGGTCTTGAATCCTATCTATCTTGTATTCTGTTCTATTCTATTTATTTTGTACTCTATTTTAAGGGTCACTGTGCAGGCAGTGCTGTTATTATAAACGCTGCTAGATGTATTCTCTTTCTGGGTACATTCTGTATAAAACTGCAGGGCATTTTTATTTTTTTAAGTGTCATTTTTTTTTCAATTTTACTTCCAGTAATCACATCCCGTTTCAGCTCACCATGCTACTTGCTGCTTGGATCACAGGGATATTCTAAAGAAAAATGCATGAGGATTCAGTGGCGTCTTCTCTAGCAATTCCATCAGCTGTTAGTAATGATGGCACCGTGGCTGGGGAAGATTTGTTTGAAACCACTGCTGATGCCACTCAGACGCTGATCTTGCCTCATTGGTTTAAACAATCCAAGTTCCGAAAGGCGTATCTAAGATCTTTCCATGCAAGGGGATTAAGGCCACCCCAATGCCCCCGGCGTATTATTATTGCACCACCTATGCCAAGATCACCATATCCATGTTTAAAATTAGCTCAGACCTCAGTGGTCTGTCAAAAGGAGGAAGCAACACCCAAACAGGAAGCTGAAGTCAGTCCTGGGGCTCCTGAAGATGAGTCTGATACAGAAGAAAAAATCCAAAAATTTGATGCTTGGATATTAGAAAGAAGAAGGCTGAACGCTGAGGTGGAGGGCTCTGAGGACTTTGAAGAACGACTCAAGTACAAGGTTCCCCTCAGTAAGCAAGAAAAAGAAAAATGGGAAAAAATCAAGGCGTCCAGAGTAGTGAGTAAGGCTGAAAGCCAGACAGCAGAGCCCGAAGACCTCAAGGTAAGGATGTGCTGCATCCCTCTGTCCTTTGGAAAGTCACAGCATGGTGGTTGAAAGCCAAACTGCTCTTTCATGTTCACTAGGTTTGGTTAACAAATGCGGCTGTGCAGCAGGGACCAGCAGCAGTGTGGAAGGATTTCCCGGTCTGTAGGTGCTAGTGTCAGTCATGGGCAGGGTGACCATAATAATTTTAGGGAAATCTGGTCTGAGAGGGGAGGGAAGGGGGGGTCAGCAGACACACACCATAGACACACTGTGTGTCTGCACCCCGCTCTCCACATGGATGCACACACGTGCGCACACGCAACCCTGACCCTGCGGCTCCCAGAAGCCCTGATGGCAGAGCAGGACAGCATGTAGGCCTGCAGCCAGGCTCCATCCCCTGCATGCAGAGGCTGGACCCAGGTGGGAGCAGCCTCTATGTGGTGCCCCCAGGCTCTGCCAACCTGCTCTACGCAACCACATGTCACCCTCCCACTGCCACTGGCAGCAGCCCAGGGCCACCACATGCAGGCCAGGGCCTTGGCAGCAGCTTCAGTAGCAGGGAATGAGGCTGGTGGAAGCAGGCAGCCGCTCTGGCTCCACCAGTCCAGCTTGCCCCATGCAGGTATCTGAGACCCAGCCCTGGTCCCCTCCCCTGACACCATCCTGCTCTGGCCAATCCCAGGCAGAAGGAGCCATGCTCAGCCTGGGCACATGCAGGCAGGGTGGCACCAATATGGGACTTTTGCTTTAGTTCTCACCAACCAGCCAGGACAGCCTATGAAATCTGGGACTGGCCCAGACAAACTGGAATATATGGTCACCCTATTCATAGGTCCTTCCATTTTTCTCAATACACACAGAACTCACAGAAATAGTAGGCCAGAAGTCCCATCCCCTAACCCTTGACCTTTGCCATTGGTAGTCCCTCCCCTTGTCCCTGGGAATACTCCTTTGGAGAGTGGGGGGGTTACCATCTTGGAACCAGAAAAAAAAACAAATCATATACTAAAAGTCAAACATCCATTATAACAGATTTTAATTTTATTTCAAAAAATATTTTTGTCCTGATTTATGTGTGTTTGCTTAGTATATAGAGAGGTGATTGCATAATAGCTGAAAAATAGAGTCTTACTCTTATATATTGTGTGTTGAGGGGATGTAGCTGTGTGTATATGTGGGAGAGTGGTGGGGGTGTGGATGGGGTGTTGGTGTGTGGAGCGTGAGAGGGAGTGTGGTGTTTTGGGACCTCCCCTACATAACCCCGCCATGGTGCACAGCCCCTCATACCAGCAGCAGGCAGCGGACCCTTGGGGTGCTCGTGGCCTGCGCAGGCACAGCCACAAAGTGCTGCACAGCTCCAGCTAGTTACAGGAGCTGCATGTAGTGACAAGGAGCGGAGCCAGGCTGTCCTGCCTCTATCATGCTGGGCTCAGGTGCAGCTCCCGGCATTAGTGTACCACTGGGGGGAAGCCATGCAATAAAACTAGCTGCTGCCCCTGCTCCCTGCTGCCATGTGCAGCTCACGGGACTCCACCACAAGTGGTAGGAAGCCTCACCCCCTGTTTCCCGGAGGAGTCCCAGGAGCTGCATGTGGTGGCAAGAAGCAGGGAAGGCAGCTGGCTCCATTACACGGGGCTTCCCCCTGCTGCCGCGCGAGTGTCGGGAGCTGCAGATGAGCCCTGTGCGATAGAGGCAGGCCAGCCTGGCTGTGCTCCTTGCCACCATGTGCAGCTCCTGGAACTGGCTGGAGCCACGCACCGCCCCAGAGCTGTGCCAGCACAGGCCATGAACACCCCAAGGGCCTGCCACCTACTGCTGCCGCTGCTGGG